CAACCCAAAGTCAGAATCTCAACAACAGACTACAGGACTTTCAACTGCTAATAAATACGCAAAAATGCTCTGTAACAATTATCGATAAAAATAAACAAACTTGTGAGACAACTAATTGATTAATCTACCAACACTCAACGACAGCTTATACTCCTTTGTCTTTGCTCTCTTCTCGACAACGCTAATCTCAAATTTCCATACAAGACCAGAAGTGAAATAACAACAAGTCTTGCATAAAGTATATAAACTCCAAAGAGATAATAAAAGTTGTAAATACTAAAAAGAAACTACAGTCTACATGGAACTCAGAGCACAGGAATCGATGGATTGTTCTAAAAGAAACATTTGAAGGGCTTAAAAAGAAACTTAGATAATAGAAATTCACTTGTCCAACTAAAACGAACGACGAATTTGCTTTAGAAATTAAAGTCTGAAAAGTTTCACTAGCAAACTTGAATCAAGTCCACAGCCTTGACAACACTCACTGAGCCTTCCTTTTTATCCAACAATCAAACCATTATGTTCATTTCTAATTGGATTGTTATGAGAAGGATCGCTTTGTATTCTCTCCTTTCACTGGAGATATATTATTTTGAGTGACTAGTGAGTTTTATGAAAGAAAATATTCCACTTGGAGATATGTAAAAAGTTTCTGGAACAATAAGTGTGCTAGATACAATCAATCTCACATCTCAGTACGGTTGTGAAACGAGAAGAACAGTGTCATAACAAAGGTCCTCTCAACTCCCTTGCGACAATGTAGCCTTTTAACAGAGTTGAATTTGATCAATCTTGTCTCTGCAAGGTAAATTTCAAACTACTTGTGAGCCTATTTTGATAACAAATCAAGAACGGTTTTGCTACAACCAGTTTTTGACTCGTTCTCGTTCTGAGAACCTTTCTTTGTTGGTCACTCAAAATTTAGGAAACTGCATAAAGGTGTAAAATTGTCATTTTCCAATTTCAATGACATTAACTCTGTTTGGCTTGCATTGTGAGAACTATAACCTTTCCTTCTATGCAAAATACGCTCAAGGAGCAATCTTGTTCGATTACGAGTTATAAAGAAGAATAAATCATATATTCAACCGTAGAATTGGAAAGTATACAGAGAACAGGACGATAATAAAAAACTGACCAAAGGTTGGGAATACTTTTGTCTATACACAAATTCGTACATAAACTACTTACGATAAGGAGGATAGAGCCTCAAAAGTTACAAGGGTCACGCTTTGTTCTCTACACAAAGAACTTGTAGAGAGTTTTGACTGGTATAACAACGGTAAAAGTGGCGATGCTTTCGCTTCTCCTTGCACATATATTTCAAGATTCACGTTTCTTTGTTACTTTGCAAAGAGGAGATGAAAGGTTCTTATTTTTCCATTATTTCTACGCTTATATTCTTTTCTTTTCACTAGGAGACGAAATTGATCCAGTATATTTAAAAGAACAAGACCTTTACCAGTTTGGATAATCACAATCACAATATCCTTTGACATTTGACTCTGCAAAAGAATCAGATAACTTGTTTTATCTTATTCTGCTGAACATTGCTTGCGAGTTGACGATATTTTTATTCTTTGTAAAGCAACTTGGATAAAACAGCGTTTCTCTTCTTTTTCAAGTTTGACTTTCCCTAGTAGAAATGAACATTCCTTCTATTGATAGACACGTTTTTTATACGAAACGTTGGGTTGTCTTTGAATCTTGTTACCAATATCCAAAAGGAAGCCTCTACTAGTGTACCCATCAGGTTATATTTCGCAAGAGTCTTCTTACAAGTGCCTAACGCAAGGAACTTTTGTATAGTGACTCACTTATTCAGTGAGCTGATGGTTGAGAATGGAAGAAGAATAGTAGGACTCAACTGGACAAATCGTTCTTTGAATTTGCAGAGCTTTTAAAAGTTTTCCCTTTTTTTATATTGGAAGAAATAATAGCCCTCTTGGAGTTATATCGTTCCTAAAGCAGCTTTGTACAATTTATAGTTTGCTTTCTTGTATATCTTTAAAAGTTGTGGTTTTTACAAAGTTTATCGTACAAGAGGATGCAGCAAAAGCTTTAAACCTAAACAGTCATGTTTACCTTCAAAAACTCTTCAACTGTATAGTCGACTACTGAGGAGAAGGAATTCAAACTATGATTCAAATGCTATGCAATGACAAGATACGAGAAGAGAATCGATAGAATAGACTCAATTCGACTGAATTGAATTTTTCTTGAAAATATCTTTTCTCCTCTTAACAGAATTCACAGTATCAAATGCCACTATTTTCAGAGGAAAAAGAAACAGGAGCTATTGCCTCTTACAGAAATTGAGTATTGATGATACACTTGTGTGAGTCAATGTTGTTTCTGAGATTTGATAACACAACGAGATATTTTGGATCCTTCTTTGCGCATTTGTTTTGGTTTGTCTTTTGCTATCATCAACCTTTGTAGCTTTAGTGATAAGCTGCTACTTGTCATGATATCGTAAGAAAGGAATTTGATGATTGCTGAGAATAAAAGACTGTTCTGCTTGCGGGTTTCTGCATTTCTACTAAATAATAATATTTCAACTGGAGCTTTTGAATAGACTGTAGAAGAGAATGACTTGGTTCATACTCTAGTTCCGTGTTTCGAAATGAAGCAAAAGTGACGTAAAAACTGTTCCATAAAATACAGAAAATCTAGAGAGAGACGTCTATGGAACAAATTCTTCATGAACAATCTATATTGCTCGGAACTCTCATGACTACTCTCGAAAATTCTGAAAGAAACTTTCTTATCTATTTGAGAATGGGCCATGTTTAATAGCTTTATACTCTCAAAGAGCATAAAAAACTTGTGAAATAAACATTGGCTTTCTTCCGATCCTCCTTGTACCCTATGAGAGTTACCATTATATTAGCATACGAGAATAAAAATATCGATAGTTGAAAAAGCCATATTGATCGTTCTTGCCATAGTTGTAGTCATCTCAGTCCAAGCCATAAAGGGTATGACAAAGTCATCAGTTGATAAAGAGAAGAAGTTGGATTGGTATCCTTTACTGTTTTCCTTGTTGTTGTTGTGACCGACAAACAGTCAATCGTTCATTTGTTTATATTTGTACTCCGAAATAAACTGAAGGTTGTTTAATTTCTCTTTGGCGATGGCGAGTTTGGATGAAAAGTGGAAAGCTGTGGACAACTTTGAGTCTATTGTGGTAGATCGTGAAAGAGATGTTTTTTGAGTGACAGAAGAATTGTATGATCTTCATAAAGGCCGAAAGCAACTCAGGGGTGTAACAAGTAGTTGCGACTATCGCTTGACGATACCATTTGCCCCTCATCTCTTTGGCTCAGGCAAAACGACCTTTGCCCGAACCTATTTGGAGTTGGTGCAAAGGTTTGGTGAAACTTTTCTGTCGAATTTTGCTTCAGACCCTTTGAGAAGAACCTTTTTGGAGAAGCTGAAAAGGGCTTCGTTGCTCTTTGTGGATTTGAGGAAGTTGGAGCCCACAGAACCGAAAGAACGCAACCTAAAGTGGGCAGTCTACTATTTGTTAGTAAAGGCTGCTTTTTTGCAATCAGGTCTTCCGCAACCAGACCCGGACGAATGTTTCAAGGAACTGAAACTTAGGACTGATGCTTTGGTTCAGAAAATCCGTTCAATCTTAAACATTCCTTCTGATCAATATCTTTTGTTGGCATTTGACGAAGTTGGTGTGTTTGATACAAAGGGAACCTTTTTTGAACTGGAGAAGAATGACAAAGGTGTGGTTCGACCATACAACGACTTTATCGGTATCATTAGTCAATTGTGCGAAGAACCCGACTTGTTTTTTATTGTTATTGGGAAAAGCAAGGGTTTAAGTATTAAGAATTATGTGGCTTTTGGGCTATCAAGAGTTATACTACATTTTATCCCTTTATCACCTTTGGACGCTTCCAGTATCGTTGAATTCCTTGAAAGGAGTCTTCTTGAGACACCTACTCAAGTTCCGGTTTGTAATGTCTTATGTAGTTCTTCATTTTCAGTAAATGAATTGGCAGACTCATTATTGGAATGTACAGGTGGAGTTCCTGGTTTGTTGACTCGTGCAGTAAATATGCTTTTGAATTATATAATAGCAAGAAATCAGCCTTTCATATCGAAAGAAGAATGTTTGACTTGTATGAATGACTACGATTTCCGAATAATTTGTGCTGAACCATTTGTGGAACGAATATTGAATTTGGACGAGGATAGAAGAAGTGTTTTTGATTTACTTTTGATGATGGCTCTTTATCGTATACCGTTTCAAGTAGATGATAGATTGACCTCGGAGTCCTTTTTATATGATGCAGTCACTGAAATGGGACTATATCGATATCCTATTGACCAGAATACTTTTCAAGTCCTAATTCCGAAAATATTTGTTGTAATCTTCAAGAACGACCCTTCTATCTCTTCTTTGGAAAAGATACTTCTTGGATCACTTGATGTCGAACCAGTAGATTGTTTCTTCTATTCAAAATGTCGTGTATTTGAAGGAATTGTTGCTTTACGACTAGTTTTGATGTTGTCTTCAAAGAATCGAAATGAGTTGAGGGAATTGTTGTGTCAATTGTCTCCGATATGGAAACAAATGAAACTTCCAATCAGACAAAC